CTTGGTAATGTATGACCCACTTATTATTTTATGTATTATTATTATTACTATTACTATTATTATTATCATTATCATTATAACTGCAAATAAGCTGAACCTTACCGATGGTGTCACGCGATTCTTTAATTCAAAAATACTCCGGGAGAGGTTTTCTTTTCTTTGATATTTCGTGGAAATGGCAAGGCTTTTCTTCTCACGAAACACTATCGTTTTTCCTAACTCACATACAATTATTAGAAAAAGCGTTCTCTCCTATGCTGATCCCCATATCATTGCCTGCTATCGCTATGTAACGGTGTATTTGTCGATAAAAGAAGTTATTTGATATTTGAAATCAAGTGTATTGACACATCGCGTCCTGTTTTATTAAAGATTTTCATTTCTACTCATCAATTATTAAAACCTCGAGTCCTAACATATACACATTAAGTGCCATTAACAGTCTCTCACACGAATAATAGAGCACATCCTTTTTAATTGAAAAAGGAGCATAGGAACAAATAACTTTTTTTTTTAAACGTGCAAGATACGTCAAGAGCTGCCTTTGCATCGGTTCTTTCAATTGGAACACGGAGTTTGGATTTCAAACATCTACAATTCTACCTCAGATTAAACAGAACCGTCGGCGACAATAGTTTTGAAAGATAGCTTTTATTATATCCCTTGCATTATAGAATCGAAAAGTTGATTGAATTGCTAAAGCAAACATCAGATTACATTTCAGGATATACGACTGCACGCAAACAAAATAGTCGGGCAAAACTTTCTTTACTCAGCGTTTATCAAAAGGCTTGCCTTAATTTTTCCAGGGGGACAATAATTAAGAAATCAATACAAGTTGCACTCGTATCATTAAATACAATAGAGTTGTAAGACGAGAACACAAGATCAAGTATCTGACTATAGACTTATCTGGAAGAATTGCCATGTGTAAACAGTTCTGTTGGGTATGAATTTGGACAGAAAACTAATGAAATACCAATCAGTGCCAATTGAAACGGTGAACTTTATTCCATCACTGACTTTAGATGGTTTATCAGAAAGAAAAGAAAAATAACATGCAGCGCATCATGCTACAAATCTCACATTAAAAACATTGTTAATCTACATAAATGTATAGATGAGAACTATAATGAGCGAATCAAAATGGTGATTGTCTCTTGCAGAATATCTAATATGCAAAATTATACAATACTTGGGGGAAGGCGGCACAGAATTAGAATCACTAGACTTGATCTCGTTATTCAAGCCCTAAATTTAAAAGTGTTAACACTAAAAACGTCATCCATATCGATGGGGCTTACTTCGTTTCATCGGGTCTTAGTGTCGGGTCGAGACGCGATCTTCTAGAGATTTGCTGATTTTTTCCGAAAATGTCGGGTAAAGTGGCCCCGAAACTGTGGCCATATTAAGGAAGGGTGTATTGAATAAACTTTACCCTCTACCCTTGTGAATTCGGGCTTAATCATTCCAAAAAGCTCGTGTAACCATGCAAAAGACGCAAATACCCCGTGGAACGATGTGAGCCTATCGATGAAACAGGGAAGACACGTTTTATATACAAACTTAAAGAGCAACTCAAGCGCTAAGAATACATGGTGTACTTAGTATACATGGAAAGTGAAACCAATACTCAGATAAAAGGGTTTGTGGCAAAATCGGACTTAGGATCATATGTAAATTCTTAAAGGCTCACTGCACTACTTGTAGCTACTTGCGCCCTCTATATAACAAACAATGCCTAATCGGTGACCATTGGTCCCCCATGATCCTCTTTTTCTTATGTTAACTGAGAGCTGAGTTGATGAGATAACCAACTGTTCAGTGACCTTGTAGGGCGGTCTAATCCCTCCTGTAAACTATGGCAGATAAGCTTTAAGAGTTAAGACCAAAGCTGATAAGCGGACTTCAATATAATATTGTCAATGAACTGCTATAGAAAAACTATTATTCATATGGTTTCTTAGCCCCTATGACTAATTGTCAAATAGTTGCTGGATTCTCCTCACTCTTGTAATATAGAAATATGAAGTAGACATTACAACTTTGAGTTGTAAAAATATGTCAGTTCTTTTCTCTAATCATAGAAGCATACACTGCAGCAGTCGGAAGAGAAAGAGTTGTATCATTAATCTTTATTTGGGCTATAAATCTAATTGACTGCGCTCAGATCATGCATAGGAGTTATCTTGTTTGAGATAGTCGTAACAATAGTAGAAGTTATTATACAAGTCATATAGGTTATAATACGAGTATAACCACGTAGGAGTGTGTTCTTATATGAGTAACTGTACCGGTTCATTACTCGATAACGAAAATAGCTCATTCTATGACGGAGAGTTGGAAATTATTATAAACTTTTACGATTGTGAATTAAGTATTGGAAATTGGAACAAAACGGCAAAATTGAAATCTCAATGTACAGTAAGCAAATAATTACCGTTGGTGAAGGTGATGGGACAAACTATCACTTCCGAGGCGATCTAGATGTAGCTATATCTTTCCGAAGCGAAGCTGAGGAAAGATAGCGTATACATTCTGATCGACGAGGAAGTGATAGTTTGCCATCGCCTGAAACGAAAAGGTGATTATTTGCTTTATATTCCACATCTAAACAATTTAACTACAAAAAGAAAAGGACGTGTATGAATTTACATAAAAGACACCTAGGCCCAAATTCACACCAAAAACAGTTTAAGTTTAACCCAACCCCTTGAGGGTATACGGTGCGCGAATGTGTTTTCTTTAATTGCGCTCAATGGTAATGCGCGCTTAATTACGCCTGTTTTAGTGCGCTTTTGGATAATCTTCAGTGAAAGTGCGTTGCCCTGTGTAGATAGTACCTCTATTTTTAGTTAAAGGAAACCAAAACCTTCATCCTAAGTTACTTTTATTGTAAAGTTTAAAAGATTTGAATAAAATCAGTGAAAATTTGAACAAAATCGGGCAAGGAATAAGGAAGTAAATTAAGAGCTTTTTTTAATGACTAGTCAATAGAGGGATGTATTCAATTTGATGACATCATCTGTGAACAACTCTCCATGCCTTTTGTACATAAAATTTCACATTTTTTTTTTTTCTTCGTATTTATTTGTGTTCTTGATCCGACTTCACAATGTGTGAAGTGGAATATCATTTTGCATTCTGCTTTCGGGGGAGTACATTATCTCAATCACAAGAAAAAAAGGAAAAACATGACATTTGATGTACAAAAAGGCATAGAGAGTTGTCCACAGATGATGTCATCAAATTGAATACTGCCCTCTAGTGACTAGTCATTTCAAAAAGCTCTTACTTCCTTATTCCTTGCCCGATTTTGTTCAAATTTTTCACTGATATTTTTCAAATATCTTAAGCTTTAGAATAAAAATAACTTAGTATGAAGGATTTGGTTTCCTTTAAAGTGCGTTGCACTAGTGTAGATAGTAGTACTATCTACACAGTGTAACGAACTTTTTGATTCTCCGATCAATATTGGGCGAACTATCTTTCATCATGTGATTTACTTTTGACCAATCGTAGAGCAAGATTCTTAGTATGCGGAATATAATAACAATTATATAGAAAAATTGTTTCTGTTGTTTCATAAAAGAAAAAAATATTATGCAACAAATATATTTAGAAAATCTTAGCCTAACAATATTCATATTGATGAATAATTTGAATAATCGACACCAAATAGTTGTATATAACAATGTTTTATCTGACCCAATGCAAGTCACGTGTGGAGTACCTCAGGGCTCAATTTTAGGTCCTCTTTTATTTTTATTGTACATAAATGATTTAAATTATTGTTCAAACATTTTGAAATTTGTCCTTTTTGCTGATGACACCAATATCCTCTATTCTCATAAAGATATTAATATTTTATGTCAAACTTTAAATAATGAGCTGCAGCATGTATCGCAATGGTTCAATAGTAATAAATTGTCTTTGAATACATCTAAATCAAATTTTATATATTTTCATTATAAGCAAAAAATTATTTCAGCTGATTCATTGAATGTATTAAATATAAAGATGAATGATGTTCCGATAAAACGAGTGCAATCAACTAGCTTTTTAGGTGTAATTATTGACCAAAATTTAACTTGGAATGCTCATATACTTACCATTTCAAACAAAATTTCAAGAAATATTGGTGTCATCAGCAAATTACGTCATATCTTGCCACAAAATATTTTGATTTTATTGTATAATACAATGGTTTTACCGTATTTAATGTATTGTAATGTTGTATGGAGCAACACATACCCAACGAGATTACAACGACTGCATATATTACAAAAGCGTATAGTAAGAATATGTCTTATGTCTGATTTCAATGCCCATTCAATACCATTATTTCAACAACTACAGTTTTTAAATATTTTTCAATTGAATCAATATTGTATATCACTCATGGTTTTTAAACATAAAACTGATAAACTGCCGATTAATCTTACCACTATGATGAAATGTAAAAAATATGTTCATAATTATAATACTAGAAATCCTGATAACTATTTTATTGAAAAATGTCCATCAACAAATTCCTTATTTACTTTTAGACACACTGGCCCGAAAATATGGAATTCCCTCCCCAAAGATATACGTGATACTGCTTTCTTAAACTCTTTTAAATCTAAATTAAAAAAATACTTCATCTGTTTTTAAATCTATAATAATATTTGCATGTTAATACGTCTCCTATGTTTTGTACACTGTTTTGTTATTGTTATACTTTTTATAGCCAATTGTTGGAAGTTGTATATGTATCTTTTAATAACAGGGAGCTGCCTCGACAGAACCTTATGGTTTTATTTGCAGTTTCCCCAATTCATTTCTATTGCTGTTTAATTTTTTATAATTCCGATATATTTGTAGACATGTTTCCATTTTGTGTGTATTTTGTGTTTTCTATATTGTATATAATCTGTATCTTATATGTTTTTTATGGACTTGAATTGAAATAAAACTTGAACTTGAACTTGAACTTGAACTTGAACTTGAACATAATGAAAAGAAAAACAAAAGTTGTTTCAATATTACGAGGATGATACTGATAACACAGTCCTGTATAAATGATACTAAGCGATCTTTTAACTAGTATAGCCGAGTAAAAGTATAATTTATATTCATATTAATTTTTAATTATGATTATAACTACCCTTGGATATAATTTTGTTACTACTGCTAAAGTAAGTAATTAGTATATTGTAACTTAAAACGTATGAAAGACAAATATTTGAGGTCTCCAAACTCTTATTCTGAAAGGGTAATAGTGAAAACATCCCAGTTGGGCATTTGAAATTAACTTGACACAATCTTTCGAACAAACATCTTTGTCGTTTATCAGTGTTTTTATAATTATTATATTTATATTATTATCAATACATTATTATTACTAATATTATGATGATTATGATTACTATCATCATTATTTGTATCATTATAAAGTCATTTAATATCATCAATTAATGAGACAATCAAGACCCGTTCAGTTTGACGCGGCAAAACCTTGGCGGCTTTCTTTGTGGCGGTTTACTGACCGCGCCATATCTGTACAAGCCTTTACTCGTCAGAATCGCGGCCATGGCATGATCTTTGTAAGACGCACTGCCGTGAGCAATCAGATGAATTGGCCACTTCCAACATGCTGTTGATTGATGAGCTTAGCACAGCTTGGTCACTGGAGTTGGAAGTAACATGAAGACCTGTGTAATAATGAAATGAAATCATTGGAATATTTATTAAAAAAGGACAAGTATTACGGCGATTTGTAATCATCTATAGAAAACACATTAAAGGGTCAAATCACCTAAAGAAAAATAATGTGTTAATGGCTCGAAATATATTTAATCAACTTTAATCATCTATTTAATTACCTAGCATTCTATAAGTTAATACCTTAGTCACACCAGCAAGACCAACACCAGACCGACAACAGACCAAACGAAAATCAGTCTGTTTTGAGACAGTCTGCACAGTCGTTAGACTTTTTATGACTGAGGCATTACGGTTATAAAGGAAATGACGCAAATAAAGGACTTGGGTTCCGTACGAGCCCTATTTTAATGCGTGCGCGTGCGTCGGCTAGTAGAGTTTACTCAACAAGTCGTTCTTAAATAATACAGGGCAAGCCAGTGTGTTTTCAAACTACAATCTCTTTGTAGATATATAATGTTTGAAGCTCATATTTTAAAAAGGTATAGCGACATGGAACCCCTTAGGCCCTATATCAAGAGCAAAACATGTTTTAGTTATTGTAACATTTTAAAGATTTGGTATCGTCCTATCTATAAAGTGAAGATGGAAGTAGGCAGAGGCGGATCCAGCCGGCGGGAATAGGGGGGGCCCAATCCGTGAGAAAATATTAGTTTCGACTCAACCAACGGTGAATAAGCGGGGGGAGGGGGGGGGGGGGGGTAGGGGTTCCATGACACATGCTCCGCCACGATTGCTCCGCCGACATTTACTCCGCAAAACGCGACAATTGCTCCGCGACATTTGCTCCGCGACAGTTGCTCCGCCGACAGTTGCTCCGCCGACATTTGCTCCGTCGACATTTGCTCCGCCGACAATTGCTCCGCCGACATTTGCTCCGCCGACAATTGCTCCGCCGACAATTGCTCCGCCGACATTTGCTCCGCCGACAATTTCTCCGCCGACAATTGCTCCGCAAAACGCGACAATTGCTCCGGTGACAAATGATCCTCGAACGACAGTTGCTCCGCCGACAATTGCTCCGCCGACAATTGCTCCGCAAAACGCGACAATTGCTCCAGTGACATTTGCTCCGCCGACATTTGCTCCGCCGACAATTGCTCCGCCGACAATTGCTCCGCAAAACGCGACAATTGCTCCGGTGACAAATGCTCCTCGAACGACAGTTGCTCCGCCGACAATTGCTCCGCCGACATTTGCTCCGCTAAAAAAGTGCCCCGTAAAATACAAAGGCTACTACGACAATATTATTGTTGCTCCTCCCCAGAAGTACCCCGCAAAAAACAATGCTCCGCCGACAATTAAATTGCTCTCTGATCCAAAAGTGTGGCCTCGTGGAAGACATGAATGCTCCTTTGGCAATTAGTGCAATAAATGCTCAACAGTTTTGTGCTAGTCCCCATAATGTTTGATTTAAAAAAACATCAAGTTTTAGCTCCTTATGCAAGTTCTCCGGAGAAAGATAATTACTCCGCTCAAAATCTGTTTCATTTATTACTCATTAGCCGATCCAAAGCTCAAGGTTATCTCTCTCTCTCTCTCTCTCTTGCTCTTCCTTTTCCTTTTTATACCCTTTTCTTGTCTTCTTAGCTCTTTTCTTTCCTCTCGTGCTATTAGTCTTCTTTCATTTTCATCACTTCTTCTTTTTTTCCCCTCTCGAGTTCTATTTCTCTCGTGAAATTCTAACGTAATGTAGTACATGTAGTACATTCTTGTTTAGAATAGTATTTTCAATAATATCCAGTCCGTTTTCTATAGTATATGTTTCTTTCCTTCAGTTAAGTGTATGTAGCTTTATATTAGTGTGTAAAACACCCCGCCTCATTCGAGTATTTTGTTTTCACTGACTTTAAGGGGCTCACGGAACCACCGGAAGAAGAGCAATTGGCTTATCGTGAAGAACTGACATCAAACTGCAACAAAATGATTTGTATAAATAGGAATAAGCAGAAAGGCTGCCATCTAATTTTCCCGTCTGAAAGGGTTCTCTTCTTTACGTATAAGTGCCCTTCGAAGCTTATTTTGATCCCTCCCCTGTTGCTTTCTAGAACTTCCACGATGACCTAATACATTGTATCAGGGGCGTCGCTAGACCTTTTTCAGTGGGGGGGGGGGGGGTGTAGAGGCCAACGATTACCGACAAAACTAGCCACCAATTACCGACAAAATTAAGTGTCTCAATATCTACAAATAACCATATAAACCCGGGGCCGAAGGCTAAATTGTTTTTCTTATGGACTATCTATAGTACTTGCGTATGCGCAAATGATCAATTTCCTCGACGACACAAATATTATTATTAATTATTTTGTCAACTTAGTCAACATCATAGCTATATATTTTAATGCAGGCGCGGAGCTAGGATCTTATTTTAGGGAGGGGCGGTAGTGAGCAAGCGAAGCGCGCTCGTTAGGGGGTGTCGGTGTTAGGCCTTCCGCGCGAAGCGCGGAAGCTTAGACGTTTCCCTAAATTATTAGGAAAAGAAGACAATTTATTGTACCGTTCTCGACCTGTCTAAATGAAGTTTTCCCCTCCCGCGCGAAGCACGGAAATTTTGGCGTTTCATCAAAATATAGAGAAAGGAAGACGATTCGTCGTATCGTTGTTGACTCTTAAATCCTTGTTTGAATTTAGTTTCCCTGAAAATGTTAAATCTCTGATTTCTTTAGCTGATAATTATAGGAAAGTGAAACTTCGAGAAAATACAAGTATTGTAGTTGTAGTCACTCTCGAAGTCGTCACAGCGGATACAAAGTCACAGTTCGTAGGGGAAAAAAATTGTCGGCCGACCGACAATATACATTTCACCGACTTCAAACTTCTGCATTGATATAGTACACGAGGATCGAGCAAAAATACCGACACAGCTGACCCGACACAGCAACATATTTACCCGTGTCTTTTTTGATTCCTTGACGAGACGACTCCACCCAACGACCCCCCTTTCTTTTACCCCCACTCCTGCTTTCTCAGGCTCTTACCTTCCCCCTCCTCTCTTTCACACCCCCCACGTTTCTTTTGTTTCCCTTTTCTCTGTTTTCCTTTTTTTTCCTTTTCTTTCTTTTCCTTTCTTTCCTCTCCTCCCTCTTTTTTTTCCTTCCCTTTCTTTCTTCTCTTTTCTTTCCTTTCTTTTCCTTTCTTTCCTTTCTTTTCCTTACTTTCTTTTCTTTTTCTTTTCTTTTTTCTTTTCTTTCCCTTGCCCTCTCTTTTTTCCCTCCCCCTTTTCTCTTTTTTCCGACGGCAGCACAATTTTACCGATAATATCCTGAGAGGTGGGGGGGGGGGGGGGGGTGTCGCACCCCCCCCCCCCCCCCACCCCCCCCCCCCTTTGGCGACGCCCCTGTAATGCTTTACTTGCAGATGGTTTACCTAGTAAGATGCATGTGCTTGATTGCATTGAGGTCATTTCAGGTCTTACATATTGATGAGCTAACTAGGAGGTATGCGCGTATTGGGGAATGTGGCTTGCTGCTCTACTTTAAAAAAAAAACTTCCCACGACATGGAATGAGTGTTCAGTGTGGGACGTACAGTGATAAATGGAAAGTTATTTCAGTATATTCGAAATGACTTCTAGGTAACTCCTTTTTCCTCCCACATCCTTATCCTTTTTTCTTTCTCTTGCGTTTAGAAACATTGTATGAAGCGCATTATAAATGAAATGTATTATCAGGTGGGCTGTATATAATACAGATCACCTTGTTTTTTCGTTAGAATATTTTTCTTATTTCTAACCACTCTTTTGTTAGCACGATAACTTGAAAATGGCTCAATCAAATGCCTTGAAATTTGTATAGGCATGAGGAAAGAGCACAGGTTTTCAACCTTGACCTTGATTGATAACGTCATCCAGGCGCAATTTTGTGAAAATCAAAATATGATCATATCTTCATAACGAAAAGACATTTCTCATTCATATTTACCAAGATCAAGGTCAATATCAGTCCGGTCAATTTCACGTCAAAAAACGCGAGCGTACGCCATTATTAGCAAAAGCATTTCATAAAGAATCGCGCGCGCGTTTTCGTTTGTCACGGCCGAACGCAAAATAATTCATCCTGGCTTTTTTTTGGACACAGTATTCCTCATGTTTTCCCGAACAATTTGATACCATGTTTATCTCTCTATGACCATTAATAAGGGAATGAGCGTCCGTTCAAGATAAACGTCCGTGCGCGCGTGCTCATGTAATACATAGCATATATGGGCAACAACATGCCTACACAAAACCCTTATGACTCTTTGGGATTGACGGGAACCCTCAATTCATTTTCATATTCGGTTAGAGTATGAGTCGGAGATGTGATTCCATGTCTCATTTTGCCATTAAGTATATCTTGTCATCATCATATTGATCTTGGAACTCAAAATACGAATTTGCATATTATGACGTCAGCATATTTATGGAAAATTGATTGTATCTCTTTAAATATTGATTGATTCTCTTCTTAATGTTAATATCTTGAAGTTGAGGCAATTGTCTACAAGTTAACTGCATATTATTTTTCATTTTGATGACATCATAGTGAAAATTGCGATTAAAGGTAACTTGACAGATTTTCTTAATTTGCGTGTTAAGCCTGTGGAAGGTACCAATTTAGTTCAAATCATGGATCTACATGACATTAATCTTTGAGCACTATCTAGCTTATTTTGTGCTCTATGTAGCTGAGACTATGGGCTATAAAAGTTGTGTCTTTTGTTCTTTGATCAGATGGTGGGATCATGTTGAAATTTTCAACTGAAAGTTAAATTCGCAAATGTTGTAGAACATTGTAGGAATTATGCATATGTCACGTTTGTCCTATTTGTGAAATATAAACGTTAGCAGTTTTCTAGTATTCAAATTAAACAAGGAAACCCCTTTACTTTATATACTTTACTGTCAGACACTATTGAGTGACTGACCAATTTTTTTCCTCTGGTAATAAAATACATTATATGAGCTTAAAGGGTACATGAGCATTTGTCCACATCAATAACCCACTTCT